CCCCCCCCCCCCCCCCCCCCCCCCCCCCCCTTTCTTTGTAAAGGCCTTATGCCTTCTTTGGGCTGGAAACTGTTATGTGCCTGTCAGGATATGGACTCTTTTGCTTTGCTGCTTCTGTTCTATTTTCATTCTATACGAGATGTTTCATAAACCCCCTGAACTGAAGTTCCCTTTGGCAGAATGACTTTGGTCTCAATTATTTCCTAACACTGTTAAGTTACCTGGCAAGCAAGAGTGTCTGTCTGTAATATTGATTGAACAAAATGAGTCCTTTTGGAAATGCTGTTGTTATAGTTACTGAGAAGGCATATGTTGTTCACATCAAAGACATAATGGTTGGTTTATGGGATTTTTTTTATAAAAAATCCTTTTTTTAATTGATATAAAAATCATACTCCATCTGGGGCACATGATAACCAATTTTACCCATAATCAGTGACTTGTGACAATGGGCTGAACCTCTCAGCCTGTCGTTATAGAAAACAGTTCATTTTTTCTGGGACTGTTTATGTCTGGCAATTTTCTTATTATTCTAGACTCTTGCTTTGTATAATCTCTAATAAGTAGCTGTTTTGATAACTCTTTTAGCTTGGAAGTCTTTTTTCACCCTGTGTTCTGACCTAATAGTAGATTCAGATCACATTAACAAGAAGACATTCTAACAGCTGTTTCTCTGTAACATGTGTTATTTGCCTAATTATGTTTTAGCCACTGCAGCTCTGTATTTCTGATAAGCCTTCTGGAAAACCGGTGCCATTTCTGATGTAGCTATTTACTCTGAGTGTTTTTTTTAAAAATTGTTTTTGTGAAAAATTAAAATTCCTACTTCTTTCTTTCTCATCCTGATTTTACTTGTGTTACAGATCCGGGTAAATAGTTCCAAATTGGTTCGAGTCATCCAGGTGGAGAATGAGGCGAAACTGAAGGAGCTAGAGCAGTTTAGTATCTGGAACTTTTTTTCCTCCTTTTTAAAAGAGAAATTGAATGACACCTATGTTAACGTGGGTCTATACAGCACAAAAACCTGCCTCAAAGTTGAGATTATAGAGGACACCAAGTACAGTGTCATTGTGATCCGGAGTAAGTCTCACCTCTGTTTTTCTGGTGGATTCTATAGTGAGAAGGGACTGAGTTTTGGAGGGTATAATCACTGAGAGAGAAGAGTCAGCCCAAGACAATCCCATTGGTTCTGATTATAACCTTCTGTACACCACTGGTCAAAACAGTTCATGGAGACTCCACCCCACATCGGACTCTTTCAGCCTAGAATCAGGGCTCCACCTCAGGAAATTCTGGGTTCCTCCTTACCTAGAATTGTGAAGACTTGCGTTCTTTTTTTGGGTTGGAGTCTCACTCTGTCACCCAGACTGGAGTGCAGTGGCCGCTCCCGGCCACTGCAGCCTCTACCTGCTGGGTTACGGTGATCCTTCCGCCTCAGCCTTCCAAGTAGCTGGAACTACAGGCGCGCGCCACCACGCCTGGCTCATTTTTTGATTTATTGTAGAGATGAGGTCTCACCAAGTTGCTGGGCGGGTCTCAAACCCGCGGGCTCAGGCAATCCACTCACCTCAGCCTCCCAAGGCGTGGGATTACAGGCTGAGCCACCGAGCCCGGCAAGACTTGCATTCTTAATATAGTGTACTACTGGTGGCCCTGAGTTGATATGCCAAGTACTCTTAGAGTAAATCAGATAGATGTGTTCCTGCCTTCTGGATATTTCTAGACAAAAGTAGCTGTCTGATGTGTATAGGCCTACATTTGAAGACGTGAGGGGTTAAACAATAAAAATTGAAGAAAGGTAAAATTGAATATTCAAACTTCACAAGTAAAAGGGGTATTTGTGGAACCATAAATAAAGACAACTGAAGTTGTCTTATTCAGTGGAACTTGGAGAAGCTTTCTCCTCTCTGAAGGAGTCTGAAGAAAGTTTTAGAGAAGGTGGATTCTGTTGAATTGTCTGCCTTTGTTTTCTTTGGTTACTACCCAGGTCCTGGAATGTTGTGAGTAATGGATAGTTTCTAGGTTTTTTATGAAATAGCTTGTGTCCTTCCAGTTGTCCTAGAGAGCCATAGTTCTTTGGTTGTATAGGATTGGCCTGTTTTTTGGTGTTCTTCTACGTTTACTGATCCCTCTGTCTGTCCTGTCTGGGTTTCCCCTAGACTTAGAGCTCTTGAATGTGAATGCCGTGGGAGTATCTGGTATGCTACTGAGGTGCCTCTGCTTGGGCCCCTGGTCCTGTGTGAGACGTGTTTGTGTGTAGGCTTTTCCAGCACAGTGCTGTGTAGCAAAGGGAAGTAGGTGGTATTGTTGGGCACGAAAAGAGCCAGTTAGAGAAACGACACAAGGCCCTGACCCAAAGTTCTAGGCATATCTGCTGAATTCCGAGTGATTTAAGGCTTGAAAACCAGAGAGGTAGAGACCCCTTGTGGTGATTGCATGAAGTGCTGATGACGCTATGTCTAACTTTGTCCAAAGCAAAGCTTAGTTTCTTCCTTTTTAGCGTTAGCATAGATGGCCAAAATAAAAATAACATCTTCAGGCAAGTACAAGTTAGACAGAGACCTGGTTATACTCTGGAAGGGTGCCCAGGTTTTGTGTGGAATTTGTAACACTGTTAGGTGGGCTGTTGCATTTATTTTACTATAGCTGACCAATAATGCTAACATTGCCTTTTATTTTATAATATCTTAAACTGTTTTGTTTCCTTATTACACAAAAATCTTTATTTATTTCAGGATTTGACCCCAGACTCTTCTTTATTTTCCTCCTTGGACTTATGCTATTTTTTTGTGGAGACTTACTGAGCAGGTAGGTTCCAAGACTAGTTACTTATACAGAATGACAAGACTCATAACCACCCTGTTTGACTTTACCATAAAAACTATAAGTACTGCCATTGCCTCTTAGCCATTGCTTGCGTTGATTTTTTTTTTTTTTTTTTTTTTTTGAGTCAGAGTCTCACTCTACTGCCCAGGCTACAATGCAGTGGCACACTGATAGCTGTTGCAGCCTCGATCTGCTGGGCTCAGGTGATCCTTCCGCCTTAGCCTTTCTTTCTTTTTTTTTTTTTTTGAGTTGAGTCTCACTCTGTCACCCAGACTGGAGTGCAGTGGCTGCTCCCGGCCACCACAGCCTCAACCTGCTGGGCTCCGGCGATCCTTCCGCCTCAGCCTTTCAAGTAGCTGGAACTACAGGCGCGCACTACCATGCCCGGCTAATTTTTTATTTATTGTAGAGATGAAGTCTTGCCAAGTTGCCTAGGCGGGTCTCGAACCCGCAGGCTCAGGCAATCCACTCATCTCAGCCTCCCAAAGTGCTGGGATTATAGCCATGAGCCATTGCGCCCAGCCCCTGCTAGGAATTTTTTTTTAAATGGCTTTAATATGTATTATGATTTTATTTGAATAATATGGGCAGTAATGAAATTCCTCATTAGATCAACTCATCATTAGATTGATAGGAGTTAATCAATTCTATGAAATTGACCCTTACCACCCCTTTCTACTGTTAGAAGTAACGTGTTACAGTCTCAACACATGATTTACAGAGCCATATGTTAATGAGTTTCCTGTGTTTAGATATAAATAGACAGACATCAACTAATTATTCATTTCCTTTCTTTAGTAACTTATTAGCTAAGATAGGTGAGGCTGACATGTACAATATAAAGAAAACATATAGATAACTAAACAAACATTGAATGAAGGTAAAAATCAACATTCAGTTGTACATTAAAAAAAGTGTGTTTATGGGGTAGTGAATGAAAGATTAGCAGTAGGAGTTTGAAGTTGGGCTGGAGAAGGGTTGGCGAATGTTTTTCTTTATTTTGGGGATCCTGAGAGAAACTCAAAGTGAGAGGAATGACAGAGCGAGTCTGGAAAGGGAGCACGTGCTGTCTGTTCTCGGCCCCATGAAAGATTGATTTAGCCTTCTAGATAATCAGTTCCAGTTTCCAGACTCCATTTGGGCACTTTCTTGCTTCTTCCTTCTCCCCAGAGAAGCTGTGCTGCTCCTCAGAATAAAGATTCTTATTAAAAATTGGGTTAGAAAAGATGACAGGGATGGGAATGGGAAATTACGCAGAGGTTTATTATTGGGATTTATTTGAGCAGACCTCATTGATACTAATTTTCATAATCTGGCAGTAACTACATAGACTCAATCTCTGCAGTTCCCTGACCGCAGGTGTTGGGCAAATACAGGTACACCTTACTTTATTGTGCTTTGCAGACAACTGTGTTTTTTCTTTTACAAATTGAGAGTTAGTGGTAACCCTGTGTTGAGCAAGTCTATTGGCACCAGTTTTCCTACAGCATGTGCTTACTTCAAGTTACATTTTGGTAATCCTTGGAATATTTCAAACTTTTTCATACGATTATATTTGTTATAATCTGTGATCAGTGATCTTTGATACTATGTAGTGTTTTGGGGTACTATGAGCCCCATGTAAGATAGCAAATTTAATAAATGTCATGTGAATGCTGATGGCTTCACCAACTGGCCATTCCGTCATCTCTGCTTCTTTCCTTGAATCTACCTGTTCCTTGAAACATTACAATATTGAAGTTAAGCCAATTAATAACCCTATAATGACCTCAGAGTGTTCAAGTGAATAGGAAGAGCCACACATCTCTTACTTTAAATCCAAAGCTAGAAATGATTAAGCTTAGTGAAGAAGGCTCATTGAACACTGAGATAGGCTGAAAGCTAGGCCTCTTGTGCCAGTCAAGCTATACATGCAAAGGAAAAGTTCTTGAAGGAAATTAAAAGTGCTACTCCAAGAAAACAAAACAGCTTTATTGCTGATGTGGAGAACATTTTAGTTGTCTGTTGAGATCAAACCAGCCACAACTTCCCTTAAACCAAAGCCTAATCCAGCGCAAGGCCCTAGTCCTCTTTAATTCTGTGAAGACTTGGAGAGGTGAGGAAGCTGCAGAAGAAAAGGTTGCAGCTAGCAGAGGTCGGTTCATGAAGTTGTGGGAAAGAAGCCCTCTCCATAACACCAAAGTGCAAGGTGAAGCAGCGAGGGCTGATAGAGAAGATACAGAAGGTTATTTATTTATGTATTTATTTATTTATTTTTTGAGTTGGGGTCTCACTCTGTCGCCCAGACTGGAGTGCAGTGGCCAGTCCCAGCCACCACAGCCTTGACCTGCTGGGCTCCGGCGATCCTTCTGCCTCAGCCTTCCAAGTAGCTGGAACTACAGGCGTGCGCTACCATACCTGGCTAGTTTTTTTGATTTATTGTTAGAGATGAGGTCTTACCAAGTTGCCCAGGCGGGTCTCGAACCCATAGGCTCAGCCAATCCACTCACCTCAGCCTCCCAAGGCGCGGGATCACAGGCTGAGCCACCAAGCCCGGCTCAGAAGGTAGATAGAAGATCTAAAATAGAAGATCTAAGCCGGGCTCAGTGGCTCAGCCTGTAATCCAGCGCCTTTGGGAGACTGAGGTGAGTGGATTGCCTGGGCCCACGGGTTTGAGACCCGCCTGGGCAGCGAGACCTCTACAATAAATCAAAAAATCAGCTGGGCGTGGTAGCGCATGCCTGTAATTCTGGCTACTCGGAAGGCTGAGGTGGAAGGATCGCCAGAGTCCAGCAGGCGAGGCTGCGGTGGCCGGGAGCAGCGGCCACTGCACTCCAGTCTGAGCGACTGAGTGAGACTCCAACTCAAAAAAAAAGATCTAGTTAAGATCATTGATGAAAGTAGCTATGCTTTAAACAGATTTTCAGGGTAGACAAGACAGTCTTCTATTGGAAGAAGATGCCATCTAGGACTTTCGTAGCTAGAGGTGACATCAGTGTCTGGCTTCAAAGGCCAGACTGACTTTCTTGTTAGGGGCTAATGCAGGTGGTATAGCTCTAAGTTGAAGCCAGTGCTCATTTACCATTCTAAGAATCCTGCAGCCCTTAAGAATTATGCTAAATCTACTCTGCCTATACTCTATAAATGGAACAACAAAGCCTGGATGACAGTACATGTGTTGACAGCAGAGATTCCTGAATATTTTAAGCCCACTGTTGAAACCTGCTGCTCAGAAAAAAAGATTCTTTTCAAAATATTAATGCTCATTGACAATGCATCTGGTCACCCAAGAGCTCTAATGGAAACGTATAAGGCGATTAATGTCTCCATACTTATTAACACAACATTCCTTCTGTAGCTCATGGATCAAGGAGTCACTTCAACTTTCAAGTCTTAATTATTTAAGAAATACATTTCATAAGGCTATAGCTGGCTAGGTGCGGTGGCTCATGCCTGTAATCCCAGCTCTTTGGGAGGCTGAGGTGAAAGGATCGTCTGAGCCCAAGGGCTCCAGACCAGCCTCGGCAACATGGTGAGACCTCATCTCTACAATAAAAAGTTAGCCAGGCATCATGCCACAATCCTGTAGTCCTTCTTACTTGGGAGGCTGAGGCAGAAGGATCACTGAGCCCAGCAGGTAGGTCAAGGCTGGGGTAGCCATGGTTGTGCTACTGGATTCCAGTCTGGGTGACAGAGGGAGACTCCAACTCAAAAAAAAAGAAAAAGAAAAAAGGCTATAGCTGCCATACATAGTGATCCCCCTGATGGATCCAGGCAAACTAAATTGAAAACCTTCTGGAAAGGGTTAACCATTCTAGATGCCATTAAGAACATTCATGATTTGTGGTAGAAAGTCAAAGTATCAACATTAACAGGAGTTTAGAAGAAGCTGATTTTAACCCCCATGAATGACTTTGAGGGGTTTAAGAAATACATTTCATAAGACTATAGCTTAAGACTCTGTGAAGGAAATAACTACTGATGTGGTGGAAATAGCAAGGGAACTAGAGTTAGAAGTGGAGACTGAAGATGGGACTGAATTAATATAATTTCATGGTGAGACTTGAATGGATAAGGAGTTGCTTCACATGAGTAGGCAGAGAAATTGGTTTCTTGAGATGGAAACTTCTGGTGAAAATCCTGTGAACATTGTTTAAATGACAAGGATTTAAAATGGTACGTGAACTTAGTTGAACAAACAGTGGGGAGGGTTTGAGAATATTGACTTCAATATTGAAAGAAGGTCTACTGTGGGTAGAAGCTGTCAAACAGCATTGCATGGTATAGAGAAGTCTCTCATTAGAGGAAGAGTCTGTCTATGCAGAAAACTTCATTGTTGTCTTATTTTAAGAAATTGCAACAGCCACCCTAGCTTTCAGCAACCACTACCCTGATCAGTCAGCAGTCATCAACATCAAGGCAGGACCCTGTACCAGCAAAAAGATTATGATTTGCTGAAGGCTCAGTGATTGTTAGCTTTTTTTTTTTTTTTTTAGCAATAAAGTATTTTATTTATTTATTTAGCAATAAAATTTCTTTGTTTTTGAGTCAGAATCTCACTGTCACCCAGGCTGGAATACAGTGGCATGCTCACAGCCACTGCAGCCTCAACCTGCTGGGCTCAGGTGATCCTTCTGCCTCAGCCTTCCAAGAAGCTGGAACCACAGGCATGCGCCACCATGTCCAGCTCATTTTTCGGTTTATTGTAGAGACGAGGTCTCGCCATGTTGCTCAGGCTGGTCTCTTGCCTTTGCCTCCCAAAGTGCTAGGATTATTAGTCGTGAGCCACCGTGCTGGCCAGCAATAAAGTATTTTAGGTTAAGGTATATACATTGTTTTTTAGACATGATACTATTTACAATTAATAGAGTATAGTATAGTGTCAACATTACTTTTGTATATACTGGGAAAACAAAATATTCGTGTTACTTGCTTTATTGCAATATTTTTTTTATTGCAGTGGTCTGGCCAAACTTGAGATATCTCTAATGTATGCTTGTGCCTGCTCTAAGTTTGTACCTTTGAAAAATCTTTTGGCTAGGTTGGTTGCCCTAGTTTCAACAATGCTATGTGTGAAGTATATACATATAGTCTTGAAATCATTTTCTCTCTGCAGAAGTCAAATTTTCTACTATTCCACTGGAATGAGTGTGGGAATTGTGGCCTCTCTACTAATCATCATTTTTATACTCTCTAAGTTTATGCCCAAGGTAAGTAGTAGAATCCTCATACGCAGTTAGGATGGGCTTGGATAGCTGAAGGGCTGTTTTCCTGAGTGATCTTAGAACACTGACAGTTTGTGTTGATGGCTGATGAGTCAATGTCCTACTCTTTCCTTGATTTGGAAAGGTACTTTCCACAATGAAGCTTGGAGGCTCATTACACACACATTCTTTTATTTAAAATCCTGTGTTTAGTGGGGAATTAAAGTCTCTTTTCTGTTTTTTAATTATGCAGCTAGCCTTTTAAGTCATTTAGCGTCTCATTTTCCCAGTGTTCCTTGAAGACTGTACCATTTTAAATATAAAGGACATCTTTTTAAGAGATGTGGTTTTTGTGCATTTTGAGTAGGTTGAATTTTAAAAAAATCATAGTTCCATTTTGCTTCTTTATGCATGGAAAGCCTGTTGTAACTTTTTGCTTTCACTTCTACTCTCTCTCTTAGAAAAGTCCCATTTACGTCATCCTGGTGGGAGGCTGGTCTTTTTCTCTGTACCTCATTCAACTAGTTTTTAAAAATTTACAAGAGATCTGGAGGTGTTACTGGCAGTATCTTTTAAGTAAGTGTTGTTGGTTTTGCATTCCTTTTTGTATGTTTATAGGCTAAGTTAACTAATAATGCAAAGATGTTGGCTGCTAACAGGAGTGAATAGTTCATGTCATTTTATAACTTTTAAAACCATAGTTTTCACTTATTTCTAACCCTTACAATTCATTACACCTTTTGCAGAATTAGAGCAGTGCTGCTAAGGAGAAGACATAAAATTTTTCATATCTATAAGTGCGCCTCTCTTTGTACAATAAGTATTTTTTAAGTGCACCTCTCTTTATACAATAAGTATTTTTTCTGAAAAGCTGAACATTAACTATATTAATATAATCATATTTTAAATACAATTGGGACTTTAGGTAAAGAACTCTTCAGTGAGTTTTATTTAAAAAGTAAGAATCCAGCCGGGCTCGGTGGCTAAGCCTGTAATCCCGCGCCTTTGGGAGGCTGAGGTGAGTGG